TTTTTCATTTCATTTAGTTACACTGACTTGAATAGAATGCATATGTAAGATGTTAAACTAAATACTACCACCAAAATTGTTTCCAACTATTTTATTGAACTTATCTACTCTACATGCGCATACATTAGAGGACCGATAAAGTGAACTTTTCTCTGGAACATTTTTTTCCCCATTTTTTACTCCACTTGAATGTATGAAAACCATTGGACACACCGTTTTGGTTAATCTTATTGAAAAGTGCTCTTCTTTAAACATTTAAAATGATCAATTCTTTTCCAGACAACTGAGGGTGCTGTTGCCGTGATGTCATTTGAGGAAGAAACTGTTCAGTTTAGGTGTTTTCTTTTCAAATTGTGAAACCAAAAATGTGCTCATTGAAAACGTTTGTGTGAAAACTTTGCTCCGGCATTGGCTTACTGCCATGTAGGCCTACTGACACAACAAATCACAAAGAAAAGAAGATTATCACAGCGAAATATCCAAAATTACTTTTAGTGCTGAAACTAGCTGTTACATTAAGGTTTCTATATAACATGGCATCGCACTATTCCTCATGATAATTGAAATTTGCATTTAGCATAAAACCAAAAAGGTCTCAAAATACCCTTGAAAATGACAAAATGAAAAATAAAAATGGGATTAAGCAAATCATTATAAGCAATTAATGAACATACATGTCTTTCATAAATAGTATACCGCCCTTTAGTTGACAATTTCTCAAATTTGAAACAAAATACCCCATGTTTATGAAATATTCCAAAAGGAACTTCTTTACCTCCCCCAAAGGTCAACTGCGGAATTTGCAACTATTGTATTTTTAAATGCGATAAAAGGGATCCATGTATAATCAAAAAGAATATGGTTCCGTTCATTTCGCTATAAACCAATATAACGAGGAATAAATTATAAACACGTTGTCCATCTTGCTCTTTGTGTTACTTTTACCCAGTTATAAAGAGGCCATTTTTTATAATCGAGAGAGGGGCACTGTTACTTTTGATGAACAGTTCAGTGACCATTTTAATCGCGTGAAGAACAGTACTATTATTTTGTAGGAGCCAATTTCTATCTTGAGAGGGGCCACAATTTAATTATGCGAGTGGGGCACTAATTGTGTTTTCCAGGGTCTGTTTTCCATCTCCAGAAGTTATCGCGAGAGGAGCACTATTTTGTTTGATGACCAATTTTCCATCTCGAGAGGGGCACAATTTATTATTGCGAGAGGGGTGTTTGTGCTTTCGATAGGTATGGTAGTATTCCATCTCTAGAAAGTGCACTATCTGGTTAATGCGAGAGGGGTTTCTGAAAAGCAGCTTTGCATAACAAGAGAGGAGACAGTTTTATTTGTAGCGCGATCATAATTATGCTTTCATACGTGTACGTTTGAGGGGTAGTTTTGTTTTCGTCTCGAGGTGGCACATTTGTAACCACGAGAGGGGCACATTTGTTGTCGGAGGGGGGGGGGGTGAGTGCCCCCCCCCACCGCTCCCCCCCCCCCTCCGCGGTCCCGCCTCCCGTGCCCATGAACATTTTGCCGGGACCACAGCCTTTTGAAACATTCTAGAGATATGTCTACTGCACTCTTCAGCCATTATTTACAAGTTCAATACAACTGAGTTAATATTGCGCAACGCGCCTATCAAATGTCCCCTCGCGCTGCCCTAGACTGTGTAACAATTTCGTGCGAACAGATTTGCTGATTAATTAGGCAAGAACCCGCCTCTTGACCGCCGAGATTTTGACCAATCAGCGGGCGCCTTTTATACGAAGACTTCGGTCATTCACCCGTTGCGCGTCACATAGACAATGGATTAACAAAAAAAAAACGTGTCACGCGCTCTGTATCATGTTTTTACGCGATATGTGGCCGGTTGTTGTTGTATTACAAAACACTGCAATCGAAATGCAAACCATTTAGTCTTGATTTGGGAATGAAATGACGTCAAGATTTAGTAAAGTCGACTCCGATTGGCTGGAAACAATTGAAAGGCGCATAATGACTGAAAATTGACAAAACTCTACAAGGTTCTAAGAACTGAATGGGAGCTACTAGGGTGGGGTGGGGGGGGGGGGGGGGGGTGGGGGGCAACTGCACATCCGCGCCGAAATGTAGACATGTTTTTCTCCGGACACTTGTCTTCCATAAAATCAAAAACCGGTCGGGGGGGGGGGGGGGGAGGGGGGGAGGGGGGGGGGGGGTGGTACCATTCTTTCAAATGGGGGCGCTCTTCAAAACTGACCATTATTATGTATACTATATTATTATATGGATATTTTCACGGCGCATTGTAATCGTTGTTGAGAGGAATTTCTTTGGTGGGATTGATGTCAGAAGAAATCTATAAACATTTTCAATCATTGCTATATAAAAAAAAATGTCAAAAATATTCGCCGGGGGGGGGGGGGGGGCCTGCCCCCTCACTGGATACGCTACTGAGCTGCCCTACCCCAAAACGTGCCAAGGAACTCCTGAGGGGAATTGCGGTCATGACACCGTATTGCCTCTGTACTGGCTGTCAAAGGTCAAGATTCAAATGCTATTTACAAAAAGCCCTCGTGTATGCCAGAGGAGAACGTGGACAGTATGTATTCGCTGAATATACCTTTTATCAGCAATGTGAAAAAAGGTGATTACGACTGCTGTTTGTAAATATTCCTGTTTAGTCACAAAGCAGTCGTTGAATGCCCCGACCGCCATTTTTCAAATTTTTCGGAATCTGACAACACAGTTCAAATGTTATCAAAGGTAAAATTATATCAATAATGTTTCATCCGATAAAAAGAAGTTCAGTTTAATTTTACATATACTTTACGTCCAGAAGCGGGAATTTGGTCTGAGTTTAAAGTCAGCCTATCAGTCGGTGATACTTCTACGATTTGTAAAAGCTTTTTTGAGTTGGAGAAGGTTTGAAAATATTTCTCTTGTGAAAGTTAATACGCAGGAATAAACCGATTTTTTGTTTTGTGAATTTAACCACAATCTTACATATTAAAAGAATATAACAAAGATTTACCTTGAAAAAGTCCTTGATAAGGATGAAACATCTGGCCACTCTAATTGTTTTGAGCTTTAAATGTACATACTTGTTAAATATTATCCAATATTGGTGTATACCAAAATGTAGCCAATATAATGTATTCCTTCTTTTTCATCTGGACCTATGATTAAAATTGAAGACCTATATTTATCAAGCTATACGTGAAGCATTGATTAAGCTTAAAAGTTCACCATAACTATTGTGGTTCATTTAGGTTTGATCGAAGTTTGATTCTTTAATTCACTTTTGACATCTGTTTATCGTTTTGCTGTCATTTTGACAGAGGCCATACCTTGTTTAAAAAACACCATCATCTCTCTCTGGTAATGAAACGAAGGGAATATATAGATAGTTCCCTGCTCTATGGTTAAAGTCAGCTTCAGTTATCAGTTGGTAATGCTTCAAGGCCTTATTTTGTAATACATCAACGCCTTTTTTGGGGGGGGGGGGGGGTTGGAGGGGGTTTGACAATACATGTGTATATGTATCGTATATCTCTTTGTAACTGTTAATAAAAAGTAATTAATCTTCTGTGTGTTCTGTCTTCGCGTTGGCCCGGGTCTCGGCGGCAGGAAGGATGCAGTTGGTTACTTTGGTTCGGTTTTATTTTTCTCTCTACCTCTACTTTTTATTACACAGGGTTAGTAAGAGGGACCCTAATATCCACTGTTCTGAACTACGCTGCGATTTCAAGGTAATTCACTTTGTTCCGCAACTTGCGCGGGTGACGAGAATGTCTAGATTTTCTTTGAAATGTACAATAACCAAAAACCGGAGAGCTGAATTGGATGGACCTCTTTGTTGTAATTTTGAATTGGTTTTTGGTTAACCTGAGCTAGTGTGTTAGTTAGATTTTCATTAATTTAACCACAGTCTTACACACGGAGGGAACATAGTTATACCAATATTAAAGTCGAGATCATAAGTTAACTATTAACTAAAGTGTGATTATCCAATATTGGTTTCATATAAACTTTAGCCAACATAATTTATTACTCATTTTTAACCTGAACATTCGATTGAGCTTTAAACCTTTATTTAACAAGCGATACGTGAAACCTTGATTGAGCTTTGAAAATTAACAATACTTATTGTGATTCACTTAATAAAGTAGGCAATGGTTTAAGGGTGTTGACAGTTTAATTGCTATATTGTCATCTGATAGAGGATAGTATTTATATTAGAAACTAATTGGATTACATACAATTGAAATTGTCACGCTTATACAGCGCTTTCCATCGTATCAACAAAGCGATTCAATATATTCTATATCTCAAAGCGATTTAGAAAGAAGGCCAAACCACTTTTGTTTAAAAGCTCTGTCCGGTTATGAACCCAAGAATATTATTACAATGAAAAGTCCTGCACGTGTTTGGAAGCCCATAATAATGAAATTTCAAACGAGACGAGGCAAGTCTAATAAAACTGGTCGCACTCGGAGTTCACAGAATTCAGTTATATCGATTCAAAATGACTATTCACTTTAAAACATTTTCACGCATGTGGCTTATACAATGGGTTGGACTTAGCCTATTTGATTGCAATAAGAGGTGGGCCACTAATCCTTTTTCAAATTTTAGAGATCAGTGTAATTTAAAAGTTACAATTAGTGTGAGAGACTCGGTGAATTAGTGAGTATAGGCTTCCTCATCTCGGCCGGCAAAACCCTGACTCTATAAGCCATTAAAGCGCATGTGCGTTATTTGTTCTCTGTAGGTTAAATCTGGACGTAGCGTCTTCACCATGAGTAGGCCTATAGCCAGCGCCAGTGACAGCCCCCGAAGCGTGGCCACATATGTTGAGCAGCTTGCCCAAAGCTCTAAATTGCTACCTTCAGAAGTTGGGCACCCAATTGTTTTCCTGGTTCCTTTGAAGGAGGAGTCAGTTTCTTCGACCCAATCATTTCGTAGTTACAGTGTTGTGGGTGTGCGATCGAGGATGCACTCACCTCACAAGGTAATAATGGTCGTTGGTGCTACAGGCACCGGTAAGAGTACCCTAATCAATGCGATGGCCAATTACATCTTAGGGGTGAAGTGGGAATATAACTTCAGATTCAAGCTGGTAGACGAACGAGGGGAAGCGCCTGAATCACAGGCTTACAGTCAAACTCAAAATATAAGATCGTACACAATCAACAGCAACGATCATATCAACGTTCCCTACACGTTGACAATCATTGACACGCCTGGGTTTGGGGACACCAGAGGTATTGAGCACGATAAAGCTACTGTTGAAAAGATCAAGGAGTTTTTCACTCACCCTGAAGCCCACGGTGTGGATCACATTGATGCCGTAGGTTTCGTTGTTCAGTCTTCACAAGCACGTCTCACCCGAACACAAACGTATGTCTTTGAGTCAATCCTTTCCGTTTTTGGCAAGAACATTGAGCCAAACATCTTGCTGCTAATCACCTTTTTTGACGGGCAACCACCAAAAGTGCTCGAGGCAGTTCAAGAGGCCAAGCTACCAATCAGTAAGACGTTTAAGTTCAACAGCTCGGCACTATTTGCTAGTCATGGAGATGGGGGAAAGTCGTTTGATGCAATGTTCTGGGAAATGGGGTATACAAGTATGAAGGAGTTTTTTGATGCTCTTAATGACCTACAGCCACAGAGTCTTATCCTCACAGTGGCTGTTCTTGAGGAACGAAAATGTCTGGAGATTGCTCTGAAAGGGTTGCAGCCTCAGATTCAGTTCGCTTGTGAACAAGAGCAGCAGTTAAACAACGACATAAAAATGCTTGAAGAGCATGAAAAGGAAATAGAGGCACATAAGTCTTTCGAATACGTGGCTAACGTTGCGAAACTTGAAAAAATTCCAGATCAGCAGGGCTCCACGAATTGTTCCAATTGCCTCTACACCTGCCATCACCCATGTACCTACTCTCGATTAAAGCGTTTTTGCCATGCAATGTCGTGGGGCAATTGCACTGTGTGTCCCGGCAAATGTCCCTCGAGCGACCACGTTCACGAGAACTCCAGATATCATTGGAAAATGGTGAGAGAGAAACAGACTTATGCTGACATCGAAAACCGATACAGAGACGCAAAGGGGCGAAAACAAACCCGTGAAGAAGTGATCAAGAAATTACGAGCTGATCTAGCCACTGCGGAAGCTGCTGTGTCCGAGTTGATTAAGGAGTCTCACCGTAGTGCCCAGCGCCTTGAACAGATCGCCCTCAACCCTAATCCCGTAGGAGTAAGAGAGTACTTAGACGTGTTGATTGAATCGGAGAAAGCAACGAAAAATACAGGTTGGGAGAAAAGAGTAGGGTCTCTGGAAGCGACAAAACAAAGAGAAGGCACTAAAGCTGCAGTCAAAGATGCAGCTGCAGCTGCATCGGGCAGTGCCATTAGCAGTATGTGGAGTAAAGTAAAGAAAACAATCGGATATACCTAGAATGTCGGCAAGTTATATCTGGTATGCGTGCAAGGGGCGGGGGAAGAATCGATACATGCTGGGCCATAAGAAAAGCCACAAAATAAACGTTTTATATATCGTCATGGTTTTACATATTGGTACATGTATATGAAATATACCATCTTGATACATAGGTCTTGGAGGTCGTTGTTAGTATTTATTATTTTCACTTCTTTAACCTCTGTCAAGAGTTATGACCATGTCTATAAAAGTCATCAATTTCAGGATTGTCACAGGTTGGATATGCAGGATATGCTCAATATGAATTCTTTGGACTTTGTGTCCTGGATTAACGGACTGCATCAATGTTCTCTGCGGTTCTAACTGCTCTGCACCGGCCGGACCTCCCTTTGTTTATATTAGAACAGTTCTCTTGACATGGAATTTCATTACAACCCTCAAGACTGTTTTTCTATCGGGCACCTTTCTAACCCAAAACTGAAGACAATATGCCTCTTGATCTTTAACAAGCAATTTAGTCTCGAAGTAGATGTCGATCAGTTTTCCTCTTTGTTCTGTGGTGACCGGCATACTGTTTCAATCGGTCTTCAACACACAGTAAAATAAACTCCTATCATTTGTCTTTATTGTATAATAAGAAGAAAGAGAGTTCTGATAAAAAAGTGAAGTAATGAGAATTCATTTTATTGTGGCGTTTTTTGGCCCTCACTGCATGCATTCACTGGCACCATTGTTGCGCCTGGAATTACTCTTGAAGTCCTGCAAAAGAGCGAGGTCCCTGCTACAAATATTAATCAATATTTGTGCGGAAAAAACTCAACGGGTGTGTTTTAAGTCTCACAAATTTTACCTTTTCCTAATTACACATTAAATATAGAAGTTCATGTAGTAGCAGAGTTTTACCGACTTTAGAGTCATCACAAGAATAATCTTTACCGGATCATACGGAATCACGTACAGAAATACTAGATGTCGACTTTGAAGAACAATATTGGAGAAGCCTATGTCCATTACGGTTAGTTGCAGGATGTAACCACATAATTAATGGAACTTCTTTACAGAGGCTAAAGCATAATGAACTGCAATATCCCGCAGAATATTTAAGAGACAGTTGGATCATATATTCATTAACCAAACAGTATGATAAAAGATACGATAGGTGATATACACGATTCTGCTGTAAAGAAAATATCATATTTCATGTATCAAGATTTCAAGTGGTGTGAGTGGCATCTGCTATTGACGTCGGACAATCTGCCCGGCTTGCATCTTGATTTTAAAAAGTGGGTTGGCACATTTGATTGTAAAAAAAAATATGTTGGCCAAATAACGGAAAGGATAGTTAAAAAAATGCACCTTTTTCTATTGAGGGAAGGGTCTGCGTAAGCAAAGGGATGTCTTTGGCAATTAAGCTCGTCGACTAAAATTGAAACGATCATGATGTTGATGACGAGGGTGACGCCCAACGTTTGGTTCTTTGACCCATGATCGAGTGACTGACGATGACCGTAAAGATAGGCGGGGCCAAAAAGGCCAGCAAGGGACTCAATGATCCGATAGCATTATGTCTTTTGTAACAACAACCTCGTTCAGTTCGTTGTTATTCAATAACACGTGGTTAAAGTTAAGATTAAGAACGGTAGAAATAGCTGCATAAATCACGGGTTGTGAGTGAAAGGTACAATCTCCTTCAAGAACACATTAACATATACGCACATATACCTTGAAGGCTACAGAGGATTGCCAAAGCTTTGGCTTGTTTTCCCCTGAAATTGATTCTGTTCCTCCTGAAGAACCCTTCCTTTTCCACTCTTTTTGAGCCGAATATACATGTGTAGCTTTTGCGTTTGATCCAAGGGAGTGGAACACGTTGTCTTCTGCCATTTTTGATGTAACACCGTCTCGTAATTGGAAGCAACTTCAAACCTTTTATTTCAGTTTCTTACTTTGAGAATGGTGTGTGACACTACTCCCATGTGATTTTTTTTATTGGCCATTATTTTTTATGTATATGCCCTTATATTTTCAATAAGGTATGACCGCTTTTTCTCTGTAGATTTTTTTGGTTTAATTTAGTATAACGTTAAAATGTGCAGGGCAGTTTGGTTTTGTATATTAAATGCCCTTGATAATTTGAAATGATTTGTAATTGTTATTATAACGTAATTGCAAAGATAAGTACAAAGATATAGGATACTCATAGTGAGCAATGTAACGTAACACAGTGTGATATTATTGCATGCAGTTTGATGCCATTGGATGGGTATAAGAAATCTAGCGCAAAATAAAGAAAAACATATGTTTGGGCTGACGATTGGACGACGGCGTTAGTTCGGATCCAAATGATCTGCATATTATGTGATCGCATGAGGTCGCTGTTCACGCTGTATTTTTGCACGCATGCATGCACTAGCGATCCAGTCAGCACGCGGCGAGGATATACCGCCGATTATAAAAATACGGATGGATAATGACGAACGCCTTGACCAATTCACTACATGGGCTATAGGTACTCTAAATAATGTATAATGACTTATTATATGGATTTTTTATTATGTGTTTGTATGTTTTAAGATATGGATGTGTAAAACGATGTAAGTGGTTATTACATGAAAGTTAAGAACAATAATCTTTTACAAGAAATTAGTACAGTAGAAAAACAAGTGCGAGTACACGATAAACTTTGGCCCTTTCACAAGAAGTCTTGCATGAAATCTTGCATTACAAACCACACTTTTGGTCAATTTTTGGAAACAAACAGACACACAGGCCGAACGACAAACAGACAGGGCGATCACCAAGTGACATGTTGAAGTTCCTGTCAGAGCTTACAAACCACACCGAACGTGTATTTTGATATAAATTGCATTGTTGGTGAGTGCGTCTACAGCACATGTAGGCCTATATATAAACGAAGTCGACGTTAACTTGAAGTAGATTTAATAAACAGCAATTCAATATCAAGTATTTTACCAGCAGGAAAGTAAAGTTTTGACAAACTAAAGTAGTTTAAGTAGAATGATACTTATTTGACAGAGTGTGAACCTTTTCCAAAATGTTTTCTAGTCGAGTGAGTGACTTCGTAAGTCATTTTATCCGAAAATAAGGTCGTTTTGACCATGAGAGGTGTCAGTTGAAATAAAACCCAGATCGGACTAAACACAATCATATGTTCGTCATTTTTAACGGGAGAATACATTCCTCACAGCACTACATAGTACACTTGCATTTAACTGAAGTAAGAAGGTTGGGGAGGGGGTACATCACTACCCCCGTTTAACGTATTTTGTGCCTAAATGCATAATTTTCAAATTTCAAATTCAAAGTTAATCACGTACAAGGCAAATATTATGAAAGTAATTATATTATATCACACAGCAGTTTTGTCCGCTGCCTTCTCAACCATTAACTTTGAATATTATTCTCTTTACAAACTCCTAAGCCTTTAATTTGTTATTCTTTTGTTTGCATGATTTCATATAATTATTCGAAAAAAAGTTGATTGCTGTAAATAAGTATTTTGAAATGTATAACGGTCTCAAAATTAATGGACACAATTGGGCGATCATGTACACATTTGTTGATTGTGTTAATTTAAAATATTGAAAAGTGAAAATGAGAATCACAATGTACAAACATTGCAAGACATTTGAATGTTTTAAGTGGTATACATTCTAATGAATTTGTTAAGACCGAGTGGAATAGACAGTTGACCAGCCAAATGACAGGCACTCATTGTGTTTGTATGTGTTTCCCCCTTGCAAGAGATAGGTTTACTTTGATTATATTCAATTTTAATTCTGGGTTTAATTCTTCAAATATCGTAGCCAAAGTAAAGTGGGTGCATTATGAAGGCTGATAATTAAAATACATACCATATAAAAGTGACAAATTTAAAACCTCAGAGCCGACTGTGGGGGATATCGATATTCCGCACATTGAACCTCAACTGTTCAGTGTCGGTGTAGTGTGTCATTTGGGCTCTATGAAATACGGACTCCTTGTTTGCATTGTGCATGCCCTGGCGAAGATAATTAGGACAGAGATGGGTCACGTATGAAGGTTAAATTCAGTATAAGGTTAAGGAGACCAGATTTCATAGGAGTCAAAATTTCACATGACACTCTGGATCATTTTGAAATGTTGTATGTATGCATAAACGCATCCTAGTCAGGCAGCTTATTGAATGGATGTGGACATTCCGGACAAAAGCGCCAAATTTTCCATTCATGCTCCTCAATGCCTTAGTTTTCGATCTTTGATAGGAACCGACTTTTCCAATGACATTATGGCGGCCATCTTGGATTTAAAAGATGGCGGCCTTTAAAAACCCTATATCTACCAATATCTTATCCTCTAAGCCACTTAGAATTAAAGTTTTGGTGTCTAAACACACATTTTCAGGGGCAAGGAATGCAACTCTACCATTTGGGATAGTGTCCAATGGTTAGTTTGTCCAAATACAGTATTGTTGCCATCTTGTATTTGAAACATGGCCGCCATTTAAAACCTAAATCTCCGAATACGTGTATACATCGTTAAGCCACTAAGGATCTGAATCTTGGTATCTAAACATACATTTTCAGGGTCATGGAACGCAACTAAACCATTTGGGTTAGTACAACATGTATTTGGGATGGTGTCAAATGGTCAGTTTGTCCAGATACTTAATACGGCGGCCATACGGTTTGCCGTAAAAGGACCAACACTGTCCCGATTCAGGCTATGTACGTTTGCCATTATGGTTTGAATTGAAAGGGCCGGCACCGGTCTCATTCCAGTTGTGTGCCGTCTTGTCATTATGGTTTCCTAAAAGGGACCAACAATGGACCGATTCAGGCTTTTCACCGTCTTGCTGTTATTGTTTGCCTTAAAAAGACCAGCACTGGTCCTATGCAGGCTCTGAGCGGTGCTATCATAACCGTTTGCCACTTAATAGGGCGAGCACTGGACAAATTTCGACTCTGTAGTGTCTGTACCGTCCACAATTAAGGAACCGTTTTGGCGCAATCGAGCCA